GGCCCCCCCCCCCCCCCAGGCACTGGTGTTCCCCCCTGATAGCGAGCGCTTGGGCTGGTAGGGGCACGGAGAGCGCTGGAGTCCCCCTGAAACGCCCTGCTGGCAGCACGTCGGTGGCGGAAGTGCCGGCATTTCTGCCGCATGCAGGAGTGCTGGTACTTCTGCCTCCGCCGTGCCACCGGCACACTTGGCGACCGGCCTCTGGGGACCCTCCTCCCGTCACCAGCTGGCTGTTGCTCCCCCCCCTCCAGTCGTGCTCCACTGGTGCCCCCCAGACTCAGGAGGCACCAGTTGCCCATGGGTCCCGCTCTGCGGCAGGGCAGGGTGTTTCTGACGTCCTGTCTGAAACCTGTGGGCCCCTGGCAGTGCCAGCTGGCCTTGCCTGGCACCCTTGAAAAGACATTAAGGCCCCTCAGCATGCTGCAGCACCCTGGTGGAGAGTCATTGCTGTGAAGGAGATGGGTGCGCGCCAAGCCGTGAGGTGGCTGGTGCACGGAGCGCATTGGCATCCATAGGCATGTGTGGGGAGGAAATCCCTAAGAAGAGTGGTAGGGCTAAAATATCTCTGTGCATCCATGCAACTCATTTTCCCCTGAAAAATCCCCCCCCCCCCCCCAAAATTAATACATCCTTTTGCTGGGGATTTTCTCTTAGGGAGGAAAAGAGAGACTAACTAGTTTTAGGGAGACTAGATCAGGGCTGGCCAACCACAAGCAGCCTGGGCAGCCTCTGGGGCATTCAGCTGAGCAGCACATCAGAGAGGGAGCAGGAAGCAGAGCAGTGCATCCGGCAGGGGTAGGGGCTCAGAGTAGCACTGAGGGCTCAGAGCTTAATTTGTGGCACATCTGCCAAATAAGGTTGGCTGCTACAGGAAGAGATGATCCTTGGAAGAAACCAGAGGGAGTTGGTGTCATCCCTCAGGTAATTTTGCTGATGCTTACTCCAGGGATCAGTCTGTCCCAGTCTTTTAAAATAATCCTCCACTCTGAGCATGCTTTTCTGTTGCTTAAATCTGGGGCTTTAATGGGGAATTACCATCAGGGTTAGATAAACAGGGAAAGACAAGGTTTTCTACATGCTGTACATACCAATGGAATTGACAGTATATGTTTTAAAAAATATATGCATCAGACTCTGAATCCAGAGCTGCAGGCTGTTAATAATGCAAAGATAATAGATTTAAAAGGCATTGTGTTGGATTTATGAAACAATTCTCCACTTAATTAAATGATCAAAATCAAAGGAGGCTTCTCCTTAAACCAGGCTTTGATGAGAACGAGTCTATCAAATGATACAAGGGGTTGTCTAGAATTAATTGCCACTGGTTCTGCTTGCCTCAAACAGGGGATCTGGAGGAAAGTGGCTTAAAATAGGAAAGCATATTCTGGTAATGCAGAGCCAAATGCTCAAGCTGTAGTTACCACACTTGGAAAATCTTTCCAACTGTTTCTAACTCATTTTAACCTTCTTCAATAATATTTATCACTGAACTCCTATCACCACTTTCAGCATACTAAATTTAGAGACTCAGAGAGAGCAGTGGCTAGTTTAGCAACTAGCAGAGATTGTGAATTTAGTGTCATCCCAGCATACGGCTTATAGAATAATTCTCAGCAAACAGACTTATGTATGAAAGCTATTGTAAATCAATTTTTTTTCTTCCAAGGACACACAGTTAAACTGATATTTTTTGTTTGTTTTTTAACGTGATGGCTCCTGGCTAGATAGTGTTTTAAGAAGAATTCCCCCCTCAAGTTACCTAATATAAACAAACCAATTTTTTTAGGATGTTATAAGCAATGTTTGGAGGGGCTGATAAAGGGACATTTGAAGTCAACAGATGGTGAGGCACTAAATGTATTGTTCTTCTATTAATTTTGTATCAGCAAATTAATATAAAATCCAGTTTCTTAGTCACCTTTCATGTTCTTTCTTTGTTTTTTTGTTTTTGTTTTTTTTTTGCATTTCTCTTAATTTGGATAATGAATCAATGAATAATTTCAATCCCGTGGTTATTATGTCTGTAATGGTTGGGTTCCAAACATTGGAATGCTCATTTATTTAAAGAAAATTGTATTCACTTAAGACTTTTTTTTTAAAACCCATACAAACATTTCTATTTGCTTGAGATTTAATATAACTGTAGGCCACTTTGAAGTTGACTGTATCACTAATGCAACTATGAGAAAAAAATTACTCTTTCACTGAAGAGTTTGACTTCAAATTACATGCAAAGGCAAAAAGTCCTGAGTGAATGAGTGGGAACTTTGGCTGAATGTGACTGGAAGGATTGGAAACATCAGTAGTGTTGACTGATATAAAGCAGTTATGTATTTGTATGTCTTTCCATATTTCCTTAGAAATGATCACACAGAGTCTCAGTTTTAGTTACGAGATATATATATATATAGAGGGCCTTGAAAATAGAAAATACAATAGAAGGGTAAATTTAATATTATTAGGTCTTGTCAATTCATTGTTTAGACTCCAATCATGAACCTTCTTTCCTCTAATACCCTTGAGTAAATACAAGCTTGGGAGGAGAGGTAAATAGTCCACAGATGAATTTATAGAAGGGTTCTGCATGTATTCAGGTTCCCTTATTGCATCTTAAGAACATCCTTGAGAAATAAGAAACATGGGGTGGGTGGTTTTGGGGCAGGCTATAAGATACAATATAGATGGGGAAGGGTGGTTCGCAGGGGTCAGTCTGTTTGAGGACAACCTTAAGGTCGACCTTAAATATTACTGTAGTCTGTGGGGGTTGTGATGAGAACCTTGTAGGAATCACTCAGTTCATAGAACAGAGCTGCATGAAGAAATGTGACATTATAGACAAAGCATGATCAAGGGATATGTCAAACTGTCTGAAAACAACTAGAATTCATACAAGTCCGTCAGCTGTTGGTTGATGACTTTTTTCATTCTTGTTTAATTCTGACAAGTAGCCTGTGATGTGATGCAGTTTAATGCATTGTCTGTTGCACAACACAAAGCTTCACTTGACACTTTCCATTGCACTAAATCAAAAGAAGGTTGATTTACTCAAAACATTTTGGGGTTTGAGCAATAATGAAATAGGATAATTGTCTTCCTCATATGAAAGGTTGCTAATATTATGAAAAGCAGCCCTGTATGCCACTCGGATATGGACACAAATTGTGTGTAGCTGACAGTTCATTAATTAGGACATGGAACTATTGTCTTGCAAATCTGTACAAATACCAGCTTACTGACATCACTAGTAGAGATTTTTATTGCAGAGAATTGCTGATAGCTGTCTCCTTCCAAAAACATCAGGATCCTTCCTGTGCTTTCCTGTGAACATACCAAACTATCAATTAGGCTGAAAGCTTTTCAGTGATAGCACTGTCTTGGTTTTATGTGCAGCGCCTCACACTGATAGTGCTCAGAAAATTATTAGTAATATTTTCCCTAACAAACAAAAAATATATTTTAATTGTTCGATTAAAATTATATTTTTAGGCTCTTATTGAAGGACTTGATCCTGCAAAAGGCTTTCAGTGAACTGTCCCACTCAAATCCACAGAATTGATCGTGTGAGTAAAGGTACGCGCATGAAAAATGAATTCTGCACACTTGGACGGATAGATGTCTACTGTTGCCCGTTTTATAAAGGACAAATTTTAGGTCACAAGCCAATATGTATTTGCAGATCTCTTTATCCTGAATGCACATTCAGATCAGATTGTATCTGTCTATAGTCATGGCCAGGACTGTAGCCATAGGCATATGTGATGTGATGTGATCACATTATCTGTGTGAACGCATGCAGGCACACGTGGGTTTTTTACATGACCTTCAGCCTTCTTAAACCTCAGAATGGGAACTGCAAAACAGTATTTTGAGTTACCTGCAGCCAGCACACTGTGTGGGGAGCTGCCTAACGTAACCAACAGGAAATGCCAAGGACAGGGGGATGTTACGTTCATCTCCTTCCTTGAAACCTAGCATTTAATGCATTTATCAGATTTTAACTATTTTGGTCATTTGCAATCTTCTGTGAAATCCATCCCATTTCAAAAATTCCACACCAAGGCTGAATTGAATAGCAAAGAAATCTTAATATTTCTACATTTTGTGCTTAGATTGGTGCAGCCTTTTGAATCCCTGAAATGCATGTTAATGTCATCAAGCTATATATAACTTATTGAAATCATGCTCTATATTTTGACTAGTTTATGAACCAGTTTAAGAATTTGAACCTGAATCTAATAAATATTTATTAGGTATGTGCCATATGTCTTTTAACAAGGTTGCCTCATTTGTATTCTGAAAAGTAAATGAACATTTTGACCATAAAACATTCTGCAGAACTAAAATGATCAGTGAAACCTAAATATTTAGAAAGAATAAAAATATGTATAAGTCAATGGCTTGTGTCTCTCTCTCTGGAATTCCAGTGTTCTCAAATCTTAGCTGTTTTTTAGAGCTTGATTGCTTGCAGAGATATTGTTAAG